CTTATTGAGAGATTATCATTCTCGGTATATGCTCTGGCGTATTCCACAAACTTTTTCCATAATCTCTCAACAGTATTGGTTTCCTTAAAATCCTCAAAATTAAGCTATTCCTCATGAAATATCTCATAGGTATTACCTATCTTTTGATGTAATATAGATTGTGCGGTTTTGATTGTATTCTTGTAGGCACATTTGTAAGTATATCCACGATTAAGCATTATTTTGAGACTAATACCACTCAAGCCATCTACATATTCCTCAAGCCATTTCTTGGCTTTTTTCTGAGAATACTCGTCAATTTGCTTATATTTCTCATCTGAGTCTTTGAGTTGCCGAATCTTATCAAAGAGCGGTGGTTGGTATCTATCATCATAGTTGATAAATCTGGCACAAAGGCCAATAATTTTATTTTGAAAATAATATGATAAGTCTATGTCCTTTTTGAGTTCCTTTGCTACATCAACAAATTCTATTCGGTCACTCTTAGTTAGATTTAACTTTTTACTAGATAAATCAAAATCTATATCAGTTTTGGGTATTACATAACTGAAATGCTCACCTGGTTCAGGAATCTTATCTTTATAGGTTTTTCTCATTCGCTCTATGAAACGCTGAACAGTTAAGTTTTGAACATTGGGTTTCCACGTATCAGTTTGGATGAACTGGTCAAACTTCCATTGTTTAGAATTTGTTATAGCATCTCTGAGAACATCTTCAACAATTTTATAGAGTGATTGGTTATCCTTGACTTCTATAGCTTTTTACATAATTCGTTCACCAATAATTATAAAGAGTTTTGATTGTCCCTGCTTCACAGTATCGATCACTTTAATAAATAACTTTTTTGGCTTAAAGTTTACTTTTTTTTCGTGAGAAATTCAAAAATATTTCTTTTACCAGTGAAAACAACAGGAAATAATACCTCCTCATAAGCCATTTTGAGATAAGTTGATCTACTTTTTATCTTAAGATAGGTATTCACTTCATTGCGTAATTTCTCTATTACTTCCATGCTAATATTAACTATTTCGGTCCAATACTCTAGTGTTAAAATTGAATTGTTTCTATAAGCTAGATCACATTTCTTATAATTATCTTCGGGACAGGTAAGATACAATGAATCAGTATTGCCATATTGAATTCCATATCCTTTTTTTAGTACGTATTCTGCAACAAGCTTAATATTGAACTGACCTGCTGAAGTAATAGCTCCAGCAATATGGCGTAGAAAGAACGGGGATAGACTATTACCTGTCTTACCGTAAAATGAATTCATATAAACTTTTACTGCCTTTTGTTTCGAATCCAAACAAGCATAGTCAAAACATACAGATTCATATTCTGTTATAAAAACGTTATAATCTTTACTAAAAGGAATTAAGATTTCAATCTTAGCAGAATGTTCTTCTTTATTTTCTGCATTATCCAAGATGTTATCTATAGCATCTATTAATGATAAATTTCTCTCTTTCATTTTTCTAATAACCAATTCCATATACTCCTTTTTCTTATCTAGAATAGCAAGATCGAACTTCATTTTATTACGCTTATCCAGAAGTTTTTTCAGAACTAATGGATACAAACCTTTTTTATTGATCTTGTTTTTATGTAATACCGACCAGGCTTGTAATATTTGACCATTAAATGTGAATTCGATTTTATGGAGACGTATTCCTTTTTGTTGTAGTTCAGTAGCTATTTTTTTCTCTAATATCATCATTTTAGGTGAAAAGTTGTAAGTCATGAAAATAGATGGATATAATGATGCGAAATCCAAACCTGTAACTAGACGCTTATTATTGAGGCCTTTTACCAGAGAAAATACATGGGCACCAGGATATTTTCCAGATTTGACATCTTTACGTGGTATTATACTAATTAGTATATTCTGCTTCCAGGCTTCAGCACCTAAGAGATTATATACCCTTATTCTATTTGTACGATAATGGGCATCGAATAGAGAAACATAAGCAATTAATGCAACTTCTTTATTGTTGTTTATCACATTACGCTTAACCATAAGCTGTTGACATCGTAGAGCATCAATAATGCAGTATTTTGCTACCTCACGCATATGTTTTTCGGACTCTATGGAATTATTTTCTTTTGCTATTTTGTAATAATCCCGCATACGGTTTATTGGCATATCAATTTTACGTCTGAGACCACACATTTTTAAATAAAACTTGAGTGGGCTTCCTTTTTGCACTTCAGATCGTGGATATAGTTTTTTGAAACTTGCACGAACGTCAATTGAAACACATCACGGCAATTTCAGAAAAAAAGAAATAAAGAACTCTTCTGGACTTATCTTAATTTTCACTGCTAGCCGACTAAAATCTTCTTCTTCATATTCGCTTTCTTTAACCATTTTATGACTGTTTCCAGCAATATCTAAAGAACGTTCCATAAAACCTGGGCTTTTCTCCATGTTTCCATAATAATTCCAATATAAAATCTGTTTGTTTGTACTTTGTTGTGAGTTCGCAGACATTTGTAACCACATCTATTCAAAAATATGTAGTTGGCTAGCCTTCTCTACGATGAAAAGCCAATCATAGTCTGAATCATTGAAACCTATTACAATATCTGGTGCTAGTGCTCGCCAACATAGCGCGAATACCTTTAATAAATTTGTTTGATTTCCACATACGATTGTGATCCAATTTGGGTCTGGCTCAGTTTTTAAATTGACAAGACAGATTTGCTTCAGTGAAGTAGGGTCATCTCTCCAGTGAACTGTCATACAAATCATAAATATATTATTCTCTGAATGCTATAGTCGAGGTAATTGATCTACCCCACATTCTGTATGGGTTTTTATATCCCATGTTAGTACTAGAGTTTGATCATATATCATATATGAAGTTGGAAATAAATTGCTTATTTCATCTAAGTCTTCTATGGAATGAAAATTCTTTACAGATACTTTAAATGCATATGAACAAAGAGAAGAACTTTTAGTATAACTGTAATTGTTTATTACCCCACCCTGTAAGAGAAATTCAGTATTCACGAGCAACTTTGTGGTAATATGTACTATGATCATCTGATGTAGTTTCCAGGTTATGCTTTTGGATAATATTAAAAGCTATCTTTCTTTAGAAAGTGTTTGTCGTATAAATTCGTAGATATGGCTTTTTTTTTGTATAGTAACTATGAATTGGGAATGCTTTTATATGCTTTATTCTGATTTTACCTATATCTATAGTTTCTCCTTGTCATCCTTTTCATTGGCAAGAATATTTTTTATTTTGCCTTCAAACAGATATATATCTTTATTGTCGGGAATTCGGATATCAAAGAAAACTTTAATGCCTGTAATAGTTACTACCGTTTTCTGACCATTGATAAGTGGGCTATATAAACATAAGATATAATAGGGGTTCTATTGATATATTCATTAGATTCTTCTATATCAGTAAGCATGAAAGGTATATTTTCCTGGTTAGCTAAGGCTCGTTCAAGAATTAAGGTCGATCTATTCTTATTTTCTCTAACTATATCATTGCGAGTTGGGATTTCTAAATAATCACTACCGAAATAGTGGAATAAGTATTGAAGTAATTGTTCTGCCTTCCCATTTTCTGAAATCTGTGATTGAGGAAAAGCTTTGGCCCCCGGTAATAAAAGGCTCTGTTATTTTCTTCCTCTATCTCTGGCTCAAAATTCTCAAAATTTTTGGCTCTTTCTCAGCATTTTTTTCTAGCATATTAGAACATTACTCCAAATTTTCATGAGTTTGAATCAGCACATTAGGCTCAAATATGGGAATAATAATTTCAGAAGTGGGAACAGTATATGCTGGCATAGTAGATGTATTGTGTTCACTTTGGGTAGTCATAGTAGCTAAGGATATTTTACAATTTTGATATATTAATTTAAGAAAAAAGTTTAATTTGAAAATATTAATTAATTAGTTTTACCTAAGATAGTATTACTAACGAGTTTCAAAAAAAAATAATCAATAATGATGGGTATTTATCTTTGTCAATATCTTTCCAATAAAGGAAAAGTTTGTGGACGGCCTTGCTATCAACAAGAAGGATGTGCTATTCACTGGAAAAGGTGCCAACGCGTCCTCTGCTTAGAATGTGGTAAACTAACTGCGTCTGAGTATAGCTTATGTAATTTGCATGCAGATAAATGTCATATTAAAGCCTACTATTAGCAGAAGAAGCTGAAGAAGATGGCGCAAAGTAGTACCGAGATGAAAAAAAATACTTAGTGGATATACATGCATTATCTTAATACGTATAGCTATCACCAAAAAATTTATTGGTGATGCCGAGAAAAATTTTTAGTGATGGAATTTTTATTGAATTTTACATTTTTGTACTTTTAGAAAGCTTTCTAGATATCTGTCACCAAAGTCACCAAAGTCACCAAAAAAATCAAACTTCTCCAGCTTTTTTTTTTCTTTTTTTATATTATGGGTATATCATATATATCATACATATCATATATATTATATACTATAAGTGTACCATAAGGTAAAGTTTTATTTTTTTCTTAGAATTTTACTTTATTTTTAGTGATTTTGGTGACAGTATATAAGAACAAGATAAAAAAGAATTTAAAACTCAAATTTAATAATAAACCTGTTACCAAAGTTGTCACCGAAGCGAAGCTATCACCAAAGATTTTTCAGTGACAGATAGCATAACCAGGTAGCATGTATATAGCATACCTGATAGCAATTAGATAGCATTAATTGATGATGGTATTGCATTTCTGTCATCATGACATGATGAGAAATTCATAAACCAATCATCACTTGAATGACGACGTGAACTCAAATTCGTCATTACTCGAATGACGATGCAAGTGTAAATCATTCATCACTTGAATAATAAAGCGAATACTAATATATCTCTGATGATGCAAGCGTAAATTATTCATCACTTGAATGATGGAGCGAATACTAATATATCTCTGACGACGCAAGCATGAATCGTTCGTCACTTGAATAACGACGCAAATGCAAAATGCTCGTCATACTTGAGACTATAATAGTCTAATCTAAGTTATTTTTTGTTTATATAAACAAAAAATGACTAGATAGTATATTGATTTTTCAATAAAATCACAAGCTTTTTTTTGTAAATGTTAGGAGAAAATTTGCCCAACTTTAGGCCCTTTTTTATATCTCATAAGTTTTAATAACGATATACTAAGCTTTAAATTATTATTATCTATTTTTTTGCAATATTTAAAAACGTGTTCTATATTTTTAAATATTTTGGTTGATTAAGTTGTTCTTTAGCAACTTTTTTGATTATATCTATAAATGTCGTGAGAATTGAATCGAAAAAGTCAATTATGTGCTCTAAAAGTTTGTCGATCTTTTGCTGCTGAATATCATTATCAATTTCTTCAATTTCTACATTTAATGGCTGTGAACTTGTCAATATATTGATGCTATTATTCACACTACTATCAACTTCTATATTTAATGATTGCGAACTTGTCAATATATTGTCACTGTTCTTATTTGCACTATTATCAATTCTCTTTTTAGAAAATTGACGTTGGTTACATGCATTTTTTAAATAGTGATATCATTTGAATGTTGTTTTGAATGCTATTTTGGAATATGGCATTGTTTTATTTTATAAATGCAAATTTTTTTTTAAACAACTACTAAAGGTACACTTTTTGAGCAAAGAATATAATTTTTTTATATCATATTTTTTTTTAATTGATAGCTTTTATTATTCTCTTTTTAACAATAACGTCGGTTTTTCAAATTTCAATAGCTTTATGTTTGTCAAATTTAGGTAAAGCTCATTTATATTGTTAAAGAATTTACTCTTATAAAATAGCGTAAATTGAAAAAATGGCTCTATTGCACTAAAGTATACAATTTGCTCTATCTTTTAAAAAAAAAAATAACCTTAATTAATATACTAGTTCAAGAGAAAAGTGTACCGAAAGTTGATATTATCCGCAGTAAATTCAGATTTTCATAAAAAATCTATCATATGCAACCCTAATTAATGTTTAATTTACATAATATATTGAACACTCTAATGTATCGTTATGAAAACCTGGAAATAGATTTAATGTTTTACTATGATTGGTTACAGGTTTTCACTCTCATGCACTCATATCATTAATTGTATTTAATTTAAAACTTGTTAAAAACTTGGTATTTTGCAGTAACTATTCTTAGTTTATCACTAGTAGACTGTAATGTTTTAGATATTTTATCTGCTCTAACTTTTTATATTAACCATTTTTGGATTGATACAGTATCAGACAGTAAAACACATTCAATATTTATTAATTAAACTTTAAAGTATTATATATAACTTTTTTTAAACAAGTCAAAAAACTCTAACAAATTGATAGATTTTAGATAACTACATTTCTGTTAGATTTTTTTTTGTTTTGAAAAAGTTATCTTTTAGATTGTAGACCAACACAGACAAATTTGTTTGTGTTAGTATTATAAATATGCTATTAATCTATTTTTTTTAACAATTTAGAATATTCAAATAAAATTTGATATAATAATATTTGAAAATTTAGATTATTTTTTTATAGTATTTATTTTTAGATTATAAGAAAAAATTTTAAGTTACTTATAAATCAAAAATATACAATTTTAAAAATAATTTTTAAAAAAATAAATTTTTTATTTTTTCGCCTATGCGATATATCACATCCTATAAGATCTGGTTAATGTGAAATCAAAACAATAAAATTAATTTGTTAGTTTAGGGTCAGGGTAAGGGTTAGGTTGGGGTTAAGGGAGTGCCAGAAATTAGCTGATTTTTTAAAGAGAGGGAAATAAAAAAAATTATTAGATATATAGTTTTAGCCAATTAAAATTTTTTATTTAAAATCAGGTAGGGGAGGAGGAAGTAGCCTCTTAATAAAAAAAAATATCAGCTAATAAATAGCCCTCCCCTTAGGGTAGATACTTTAGCAAAGAGGTTCTAATCCAAAATTTCGCGAGAAATTTTTTTTGTTAGAGTACAAAGGATGATTTAATAAGCAAAATTTCGTGCTATAGTTGATTTTTGAAAAAAATTATAATTGCTTCAATTTCACATTACATCTGATTCTGTATTCTAATTGGTTGATCAGATGGTGATACATCACCATGGTAATAAATTATAAAATCCTAAAAAAATTATTTTAGTTTATCTATAATAAATTTTTTAAATATTAATTCTAGATCTATAGTTTCTAATATAACTTTATAGTTTGAATAATAGATTATAATTTTAACTATTATAAATTTTGTAATTTACTTGTAAAAATTAATACTTGTTTTAAAAGTAAAAAAATTTTTTTTGTTTTGATGTTAAGATGACCCCTTCGGTCAAGTACTTATTATTGTTTAGATTACTTTTACAACTAGATGATCTATATTCATCGTATATATATTTATATATACATAATCTTAATACAATACTATTTTAGTAACTATCTTAAAACAATTTTATTCTTAGAGTAAACTTGCTAGAGTCTTCCATACTCACAATCTGGCTAATTTAGGCTTTAGTTGATACGCACAGGCCAAGGCCTGCTACTTGCGCCCTAATTTTTATAGTAGAAATATTCTTCTGCTGTTTTGTTCTTACTGGTTTTTTTATACTGTTTTAACTAACTATAGCCTGATTACTGCTACACAACCTACTTTTGCTCTTATAGTTCACCCAAACCCCAGTACACACATTACAAACTAACTACCCCAAATTACCAATCTAGATGGCCCGAAATAGCTGTGATCTGCTTCTGGTCCTTACGGTTGGATCTTTTTTCTCCGATTACTCCTCTGGCAGCCTGGTTAGTGAAGTACCTTGCCAAAGTACTTCGGTCCTATTTAGTTTTGCTAGTTTCTCTGATAATAATCCTTTACATAATACTGTCAAAGATCTGTACTACCTATCTATTTGAAACTTGTCAAGCAAGTACTCTACTACCGTATCAGCCCTGTAGCTTTCTGCGATCTAAAAATTTATTTGTGTAACTTATATATCATACAAATGCCTCAAGATCTTCTAGTTCCAATAAATTGGTATAACCACAGTTACAGAACCTCAAGTTTTCCCAGCTACAACAATAGTTATCAAATCTGTTTTTCTTAAAATCTAATTTTTGCTCTCTGTGAGAATTGAACCAAAACTTAACCACTTGGAAATATGACAACTTCACTACTTCACTAAGTCACCACACCCTTAAAGTAAAAATTTTTGGAGAATTTACAAATAAGGGCCTGAAAAGTGAAAATAATTACGGATAAGGGCCCAAATTAAAAATAATTACAAATAAGGG